AAAAATTTCCGAGAAATTTGTCCGCAGTACGCTATTAAATTTTCAAAAAATACTTACTTGAAACTTAATACTTCGGCTATGTTCTTTGAGAATACTATGGAATAATATCTTGAGAAAAATCGACTTACAGAAACATCACTTCTCTAAAATGTTACCCATTATCAGATTTTAAAGAAAAAATTTTTTAAATGAATTTCACATTAGGCCTAAGAATTAGGCTTAAGAAGAAAAAGTTTTACAAATAATTATATAACAAAGTCAAATTACGTCACAATTAGCCATTTACTCTTTGATCTAATAAAATTTAAATCATAACTTAAAATTTTTTATTTAATCTTTTCAAAATGTGAACTCTTGGAGGAAACCCTTTTCTAGTTTTTCTTTGTGTACGAATAGTGAAATGTAATTTAGAGTTTTTAATTGTGTATATAATAAGGATGTTAAATAAATTTTCAAAAATTTATGAAAGACAAAACTCATACAATTTGAATTAAATTAATGGATGATAAACAAAAAAAAAAATATCAACAAAAGTGATTAAAACTAAAATGGATAAAGACTTTTTTGTAACGAAAAATAAAAAGAAAACAAAACAATTAAATAATAATGTAGTACAAAAGTATATTAATTAATAAAATTTATTCAAAAATTATAAAATTTTACATATACTGTGTTGTTATTATGTAAGTATGTATGTAGGTTTAATATTTAATTTAATATTTTTAAAATTTGACATTTAAATACAGTATTTTTTGTTTAACTTTTTATAATAATATTTTTAACATTCTACTATTTTTTGCTCTTTAATATAATTTTTTAATGTGTAATGCGTGAATGCTATTAAAATAACGATCCGTTATTAAATAATATGCCAATATCTAATAAAATTTTTTCATATTTAATTTTGTTTAAATAATTTTTTTTTATATAAATGTTTTATTTTGAATTATTAATATAATTTTTTTTAATAAAAAATACTTTCATTTTTTTTTTATAGTAAATATTTGTTTTTTTTTCAGAGAAATTTTTTTTTTAATATTAAAAATTTCTTACCATTTTTTTATGTTTTGTGTATTTTTTGATAATATATATAAATTTATAATTAATGTATTTTTATATTTATATATAAATATTATGTATAAAGATGCCATAAGAACAAGTTGCAGAGGGTAGGTATTTTCAATTATTTTGTTTTTGTAATAATTTTCACTTATATTGTATTACATTGTTATAAATTACTTATTATTTATTTTTGTTTTATTTTAATAAGTCAATTTTATACTCGTAATTTATTAATGTTATAATAACTTTATTTCATTTTTTAATAAGTAAAATACAAATATTTATTGTTTAATACTTTATTTTTTTTTTCTCGGTGTAGAGTATATAAATATGTGTTATTAATATTTTGTATTAATTTCAATTTGTTTTATAATATTTTTTTACTTTAATTTTTTTTTTTTAAATAACTCTATTAAACAACTACTTTGTGCTAGCTATATATAATATAATATAATAATTTACTTAAATATTTTCTAACAAATCATTTTTAATATCTAGGTATATATTATATATGTATATGCATATATATATAATATAAATATTAGAATTATATCATCTTTGCATGTAGTAAATATATATATATATATATATATATGTATATATGTATGGTATATAATATAAATATATAATAGCTAAATATTTTTAGGCTAGATCGTTTCACAACACACAAATGGAAAATAAGGACAATTTTTGAAATAATAATAAATATTAAAAAAATTACGAATTATTAATATAGATAATTTATTATATATAAATATATTATTTATATTTATCTTAATTTTCTAATATATTATGCGTAAACTTATTTACTTATATTATAACAGTATATATTTATTTATATAATATGTACTTCTAAAATTTACGTAATTCTCGTTTAAAATTACTTACGATTTAATTTTATTTTTGTTTTAACTAATTGACTTCATAGATATTACACTGGGGAAATTTTTTTTTCTTTTTCGTTTTTTTTTTTTTGTATAAAAGATAAGTATTAAATTTTATTGCTAATTTATCGGAGGCATTTTTCTAAAACAAAATTTAATACTTTTTTTTTTCAACTTACAACATGAGATTTTTAAAATAAATAGATATGTAGATATAGAAAATATAAAAAAGGAAATAAATTTAATAATTATAATAAAAATATTATATTCATAATAAATACGTACATTATGTATAAATAGGAATAATTCAATTAGAAACGGATTTATTATGGATAATAAAGCAGAAACGGACGGAATTATTAAGTTTTGAATAGCAAAATGAAAAACAATTAGAAATAAAATTGAGTTAAAAGGTATAACTTCATAACAAATTTTATTATAACAATAATTTTGTTCAGTTAACATATAAAAAAAACTCTGATTATAATTGAAATATTTTGAAAAATGAATTTTTCCAAATATTCCCAAATTATTTGAAAAAATTCAAATTTAAAATTCATAGTATTTGTGTATATACGAGGATATTTATTAAATAGGTAATAAACTATTACCTATTATATACTGACGGGGGAAATAATATGAAAAAAAAAGAGATTATGAAAATTGAAATTAAAAATTAAAAATTTTTCTCAGTGTATCTCTTGTTAAAACTATATATAATTTTATATTTTTAACATTTTATAATTATTTAATTATTAAAATTATTTTTTTTCTAAATTGTAAAATATATAACTAATACATTTTATTTATTTACTTATATATACTATATTATATTAATACGCTACATACAATTTTATTTTATATTATTTATTGCCATACATATAAATATTTTTAATGTTTTTTTTTTTATTCTTATATAAATTTTGTTTTGGTTATTATCAAAATGTATTGATATTATTTAATTAATAGCTAAGATTATTTTAAAAATGTTTTCTTATATAATTTTGAAAAAAAAAAATTTAATATTTTATTTTAAAAATTTATTTTGGTTAAAACTCAGGCGAATATTATGGGTTTTCCATATTATACAAATTGATTTCTTTTATTAATTTTAATATTTTTTTTTTGTTGTTTTCTATATTAAATCTTTGCAATTTTAAAATATTTTAATTCATTTGTTTTATAATTTTTCCAATGCTGCTTTATTTTTTATATAAATTTTTTGCAAAATTCGTTATGTATGCACTTATTTTCTTTTAATTATTAATTAGGTAATGATTTTCAATAAATTTCGTAATTCTTTAACTCCAATTAATAAAATATTTTACTATTAAAATGTATTATGTAAATTGCAATTTTTATATTTTATATAATTTAAAAAGGATTGAATTAAGCAAATATTGCATAAAAAATGTAATTTAATAAAAAAAGTCAATGTGGAATAAGCATTATTAATTAATATTTAACCTTCTGACCTATAGATGGTAGACAAACTTTTCATTAAATAGAAAATGAGTGGACTGACGGGCAGATTATTTCTTAATCAAAGCAGAATTTTACGCTTAGCAATAACACATATGCATACCGCAGTCAACTCCTTAAATTGCCCACAAAGCTTCATACCAAACTTTATCAGTAAAGTGTATGGGTAAACATAAATATTTTTAATGGTTTTTACACATGCATCTTTGTTAAAGGTATATTGACTTTGGTATGGAGTTTATAACCACTTGAAGAAGTTGTCTGCGGTATTAATATGTAAGAATATTAATATACTTTTACTTAGCATTAAATTCTGTATTTATTTAGACATGCCCATCCAATCGCACGATAATTTAAAACGAAAAGAGCAAACACCACTTACATAAATTATTTCTAACCAGTGCTTTACTAATTAGACAAATTCGAACAATTGGTTCGGGTAGCTGCCATATAACCCGAAAAACTAAGAATAAATATTTAAAAAAAAATAATAGAGCTAGCTGCATAAAATTTGGCAGTAATTTATTGAAATACAGATCAGATTATATTCTTCAAGTTTTTGCGTTATGACTGGACAGTTTTGAATTGCTGTCATACAATCACAAATGCTTATTTTAATTATTTCGGAAACTAATTTTTATATTCAAATTATTAAGCTGTGGGAGGGTATGACTCAGTCGGATAAAATCGACTGAAATATTTTTATCTGCTTTTTAGTAAATTTTTTTTGGTAATTATGAAGAAGCCATCGCCAGAATCATCACGACTTTCTAAGGTTGTATTTGGTTCGAATTCTACTTGTGGTTCTGCACGTAGACTGATGTTTCCATCTGTTATCAACGCACGATAAGTAATGTTCTCTTAAGCAGTTAATATCAGCTGATGAATTTTTTTGTTATATGTTACTTGCAAATTGTAGATCTTCTTATAAAATTAAATATTAAAATGAAAGATGAAGTTCAGTAAATCAAATTTAAATTGTAAAGTTAAGTAAATTTTCTCGATATTTTTATTATTTGAAGTTAAAGGAATGCAAATATTTTTAAAACAGTAGGTAATTGTTAAAAAAAAAAAAACATGGTATGTAAAAAGAATTTATGCTTGATTTCTTATAAATTTTGTTTTGTATTTCTTAACTATTTTTATAGGTATTATTTTAGAAAAATATAGAGATTATGTGTACAGCGTTTGATTTGTTTGTTTTTCTTTGTTCAATAATAATTAGGTCTTTTGGAAATACTTGATATGTCAATAAAATTACAATATTTTCTTTTAATTTATTTTACTATAATTTCTTTTTATTTTCTTTTGTGATTATTAAAAAATTTATTAAATTTTCTTTGTATTGGTTTTTTTTTTTTGTTCCTTTCACAAATTAATTTTAAGTATTTTGAGGTTATAAAAAAAAACAAAAATTTATATTTTTATTTTTTGTTTTTTTTTTTTGTGAATGCAATAAGAAAATTTCTTAATATTTCAACGCACTTTCAATTATGTACTTTTAATATTCTAAGAATTATGGTAATTTTTTTTTTTATTTTTGTATATTTATATAAAAAAAGGATTTACAATATATAAATATATTTTTGTTATGTTTATCTTATTTCTTATTTCAGTTTTATATAAATTTTATAATATTTTAATATGAATTTTTTCACATATCAAATTTTGCTTTTGTATTTTTCAGGATTTTCTATATTAAAGGATTAAAGTATTTTTAAAATATCATTATAACCAATTTTTAAAATGATTTTCAATTACATATATGTATGTAATATTGTATTTATTGTAGTTCCTTATTACAACAAATTGTTTTGGTTTCATATTCAAAATTCCTTTGCATTTAAAAATATTAAATTAAAAAATTCCGTTCACTATTTCCTTGTTTGGTTTTTCTTTGTTAGTTTTTATTATCCTGTTTTTGTTTTCTAAATAGGCTTTATTTAAAATATTGTTCTTTAAATGATTGATTAAATTTTGTATAGTAATATTATAAATATTCAATATATATGATATGATTACTACACACATATACATTATACAATTAATACAAGTAAATATAGATACATATACATATATATGTATATAAATATAAATACAAGTATTTTTTAATTCACAATTAATTTAAATTTTTTAAATATTTTATTTAATAATTAGTAATTGTTGTTGTTTTGTTTTTCTTTTATTTTAATAAAATATATACTATTAAATTTATTAATAATAAAACTATTGAATCGGGTGTATGCCTGACTGATGATGATATTCGTTTTTCTAGATCGTTGCACATAATCGGTTCTAAAACAAAAACAGAAATTTTTATGAATTTAGAGAGACAAACTTCTTTCATCAAAACAAATGTTGAAAACAAATTAATTTTTTTTTTTTTAAAAAATAATTAAGAATTAAAAATTTAAAAAAGTTTTGTGTCTTTGTGCTGTACAGAGGCAGGACAAGCATAATAATATTATTTTTAAGAATTAAAATTTTTAATCTCTATGTATTTCAAATTCAGCTTACACAATAATTAATTGAATTAAAATATAATTTATTGAATTACAAAAAAACTAAAAAATTTTTATTTCTGCGTGCATTTTGCATAATTTAGTAATTAAAATTTTAATTTATTCACATGCAAGATTAATAATATAAGAATTTAAAATAAATATTTTAGTCATATAAATTTGGTAATTTGCAACAAATTTATTGAAAATTATACCAAAATCTTGATTTATTCCATATTAAATGTGAGACTATCATATTTCATCCGTATGCATTAAGAGTATTTAAAATTTAAGTCACAACTAAAAATTCACTTTTAATAAACAAAAGAAATTAGAATAATCCAAAAAGTCTCATTAATAATAATGATTTTGAATAACAATATTTTTTTTTTGAAATAAAACAGATTCCTATATTAGGATAGAATATTGAATTTCTTGTACTTATAAATTTTGGAAGAGTAGCAATTCTTCAATACAGAAACTAACAAAATTTTTCAAAAATAATTATTTAAAATATGTATTTCTACTTACAGCAATAAAATACAATCGTGCCAACACATACTATACATACATATATGTATTTTATTTTATGAATACATGTACATATGTATATAAAATGGATAATTTGGAAATTGAAACCTATTCTAATTTTTTGTCGATATTATAAGAAATAATTTTAATAATTATGTTTTAAAAAACTTATTCATGGAAATAAATATTAAACTGCTAAATCCAGTATTTGTTATATACATTATACAAAAACATCATTTGAATTAATTGCTAACATATTTTCCAAAAAACATAGAAACGGCAGTTGTCGTATTTCTCCTACATTATGTCTGGTAACATAATAGAACACAATAATTGTATCAAGAATCAATTACACCTATACTTAAATACTAGAATAATTTGATATAATATCGCATAATACTCCCAATAGACTGCTCACATATTTTTAAAGTGAAAATTAAAAATATTTTTTGTCTAATATTTGCAACAAAATTGGTAAAAATTTTCTTATTAATTTCATTGTGTCGTCCCGTGCTTTTGTTTACAAAATTTCTGTAATTTTTAACATAAAATATATACAGGCTGTCTCGTATCTAAGTACACTACTGTATACTATTGTATAAGCTCTCATGAATAGGCACCTGTAACTTCGAACTGATTGAACTGTGAACATTGTTTTAATACCAAAAATTTTATCTGCTCATGAGGGCCTATACAATGTTATATGGCAGTGCATTTTGATGCGAGGCACTCTGTATACAGATACAAAGACGAGACACGCTTCTTCTACTATTACATAAGCGAACGTTGCAGTGATAAAGTAGATAATGCTGTTGAAATAAAATTTTATCTTTAACCCGTTCTTTTTGTAGTAGACATTGATAGATTTATATCGTTTGAAGAAGATTTTAGTTAAAAGACCTGCAATATTTTTAAGTTTCTCATAATACTTTTAGGTTGCATAACCAAAAATAAACAAAATTCTTGTTTTGCTTTTATTACAAATTTATTACAAACATAAATTCTTTATTCTTGCTGTCTCCTAATTCTACTGATCATAATTAAAAACTTATAAAAAATTGAGGCAGTAAATTAAAAAAAAAAAACATAACAATTTAATTTTGTACATAGCGACAACGTGTAAGAACATACAACAGGTAAAAATTAAGAAAGATTGTAAAACAAAAAAAATGTTATTAAATTTTTATTTCAAAATTATAATGAAAGCTTTACATTAAAATTAAAAACATTTAAGGATTTTTAAGTGTTTTAAGAATTTATTACTGTTTCGAATTAGTAATAAAAATAAAAAATGATTTTTATACTTTCTAATCTTATTCTTTAGAATACGATTAACTTAAGAATCTTTGTTTGGATATAACACCGAAAATTAATTTAGAATTAAATCATTTTTCTTTTCTTCGTAACTTTCTTAATTTAGTTTTATTTTTTTAAGTCTCTAATCCATTATTTTCTGAATTAATTTCTGAAATTTAATCAATTTCGAAACAAAAATGGCAAAATAAATGAATAAATTTTAATATGACCAAAAAAAAAAGAAAAAAATTAAAACAATAAAAAAAAGTTTTTTTTTTTGCGATTCGTCATCAATGAAATCGGAGACATGCTGTCTGACAAAATTCAAATTTGAAATTTTATCTTAAAAAATACAACCAATATGGATGTGATAATAATTTTAATTTGACATTTTAAAAAGTGTTATTTTAGGGCAATCCTACTTAAAAAAATTCTATTTAAATTTGTAAAAATTTAAAAATTTTATGGTTGAATCTAAAATTGGAAGTTATTAATGAAGATTAAGTGAATGATTTATGAATCTGAGATAATTCATAAAATCCTAATTGTTATAATAAAGAAATGTAAATAATGACTATGCAACTCGAATTGGTTATGGGATGTGTAAAATATATAGTCGCAACATTAAGTATAAATTACTAAAAATATTTCTAATATTCCAATTTTCCAAATTTTTGGGATTATTATTTTGTACATACGTAATATTCGTATAAGGTTTTGAAGAGGAAAAGTAATTGAATTGAATACACTATATATTTCTGCCAATACCACATGAATCATAAAGCTTCAATTTTTGAGTAATTTTTAAGCTACCCTGATTGAATTCTTTGACAAATGAAAACGTCATCTTACTGAACTAAATATAAAATTTAGTTTATCAATTCAAGGCGTTCAGACCATTTTCTCCCAACACTTTTTCAAAAATTAAATTTACAAAATAATTTTTCTTGGAAATATTGAACAAACTTTTTGAATTTTATTTGGAATCACATGACACAATGACAATGTCTCAGCACTCTCTAGCAATTCTATGAGAAAATTTAATTACTTTTCATTATCACCCTACACGATTTTCACACTATTCAACTTTTCGAATTTCATATATCATTAGAATTCCATGAATTTTATCAATTCTAAGTCATATAAAATAATAAAAATTATTCGATTACCCTATTTAAATAACCTTGATGAGAGTTTTCTGAGAAGACTGTAATTAACATAATCCAAGCATACAGGTGAGTTTTTTTTTAAAACTATAATATTTAATTAATATTCCAGGAAAAGATTTACTAATTTAAAAATTTTATTGCCTGAATATTTTTCTTAATTAACTAACTATAGACTTAATAGATTTTACAAGTTCTTGGTAAATTTTAATTTTTCTTCCGAAAGAAAAAGCGAAAAAATCAAATCAAAATCAATTAGTAAGCTATTGTCAAAAACTTCTTCACTGAATTTTTTTTTAAAATGAGAATACTCGTACCATATATTTCGAGCAAATTGACGAAATTTTAAAGCACTAAGGATTATTTATATTTAAAAGCTTGTTTTAAATTTTATTGAACCTGAGATTTTAGAATATGGAAAAATTTAATTATAAACAAATATAAATTATTATTGAAAATTTCATTGAACTAATGAAAAAATAGTAGTTTTACTTTTACACTAAAATGTGATACAAATCTCACAGAATTTATTGAGGTTTCTTAACAAAATTTTTATTTTTATATTATATGTAGATGATTCGCTGCCGCTAAAAAGCTCATATTTAAGATAAAATCTATTTTATCATAGCTTATTTCATAATATATAATTTAACCATCCGACGTTTTAATAACGCTTTTGCATTCATAAAAAACGAGAAAAAAAGTAGAGTTGACCTTGTCAACTCTGTGATACCCGTACGAATTTGTTATCCTATGTGCGAATAACTAATGTGCCATAACTAACTATGGAGCAGACTACGACTTTAAGTTGCCGTATTACCATATTAATTTATGCAAAGTTTCAGTACTATGTGTTTTTCAAAATACTGGTTGTGCCAAACTACTATTGAAGTTGTATGGCAGCTACCAGAAAGAGCTAAGAAATTTTAGCGAATTTTATCAAGCACATCGGCCCTACTAATATATTCACTTGTATGAAATCTCAATATCACAGCTTTTATAGTTTCTGAGATATAGCCAAATAACTTTTGAAGTTGTATGGCAGGTACCAGAAGGAGCCAAGTAATTTCAACGACTTTTATGAGACACATTGGTCCTACTAATATATTCGTTTGTGTGAAATTTCAATACCATAGCTTTAATAGTTTCTGAAATACAGTCAAAAAACTTTTGAAGTTGTATGGCAGGTACCAGAAGAAGCCAAGTAATTTCAACGACTTTCATCAGGCACATTGGCCCTATTAAAATATTCGCTTGTGTGAAATTTCAATACCATAGCTTTTATAGTTTCTGAGATATAGTCAAATAACTTTTGAAGTTGTATGGCAGGTACCAGAAGGAGCCAAGTAATTTCAACAACTTTTATTAGACATATTGGCCCTACTAATATATTCGTTTGTGTGAAATTTCAATACCACAACTTTTATAGTTTCTGAGATATAGCCAAATAAATTTTGAAGTTGTATGGCAGCTACCCGAACCGGTACCCCGATCACTTCCAATTTAAATAGGGTTCTGGCACTTACTACAATAAATCATTTGTGAAAATTTGGTGAACTTAGCTCAATTAGTTTTTGAGTTATCGTTCGGACGGACGGACGGACGGACGGACGGACGGACGGACGGACGGACGGACGGACGGACGGACGGACGGACGGACGGACGGACGGACAGACAAAGCTAAATCAACTCAGAATTTGACGCTGATCAAAAACATACACTTGAGTCTATATCTAACACCGTTATTTCTTAGCGTTACAAACGGTAAGGCAAATTTAGTATACCCTTCGAACATACGTTC